AACAAAGTAGTGTGTGTACGTTTTCTTATCGACCAGTCTGTCCTGACCCCTGTATCTTTGTACACCAGATGGAGCGCGAGTTCCGCGAGTACCAGCGCGACAAGCAGAGCGGCGCGAAGGCGGCGCTGCGCCAGTTGCTGCTGGAATGCCGCGCTATCACACATCGCAGCTTCGCCGCGGTCAAGGACAGTCCAGCGGCGCTCAATGCCATCACTGACACGCTGCAGCATGACGCCAGGTATCTATATAATGAAGAGGAAAGGTTTGTATTTTTGTATGTATTGAAATAACTCAAAAACTACTGGGATAATATCAAAAATTATTTCACCGTCAGAAATGTAATTTATCTGTATATAGGGTTTTTTTTATTATTTTTTTTAATTTCACGTGAGTGAATTCGTGAGCAATAGCTAGTTATATATAAAATTAAATAAAAGACTGTGATAATGAGATTTGTTCAGCAGTTTTGGCTACACTAAGAAATACTTAAGTTTTCGCATTTAGTAATGCAACCTCGGTAACTTAAAAACCTCTATAACTTCCCATCAGAGCCCAAAACCTCTACAACTTAGAATATGCAACCTCTTTAACTTGAAGTAATCTCTGTATTGTCCTCAGTAACTTAAAGAAATGTTTCCACAACCTCTATAACATAAAATTGTTTGTCAGTCATTTTGAACAAAACAAAACACAATGTTTCAGCATTTATTGCTTATTTATATTTAAATATTGTAATAACGGAAGCGGATGCGGAGTAAATTTCTTGCGGATGCGGAACTTGAGTTCCGTTACAACCCTACTTAAAACCTCTATAACTTAAACATTTCGTGTTTCCCTTGAACTTTAACTTATCAATGTTATTTTTTTAGATATACAGCATTGGAGCACGCGCCGGGCGAGCGGCTGCAGACTATAATGTCCCACTTGGAGGAGCTGCACAAGAAGGGCCCTCCGCCGCCGCCCACCGCCAGCGAGCCCACGAGACGACCTAAATGAATTAAATATTACATAAATATACTGAATTTTATTTATAACTACCCTTATATACTAATATATACTAACCCATCGAGAAGGCATGTTTTAAATGTTCGGCAGAGCTAGTTTTCATTTTTAGAAACAAAACAAAAGCAAATCCTGATAATAATTTGAAAGATTTTCAGACCAGTTATAAATTTCTATAATTCTGCATACTTTATTATATACGAGCTGTTGCCCGCGACTTCGTCCCCGTGGTATTGGAAAACATACAAACTATATATATTACAAAAAGCTACGTATCCCTCGGGAACCGGACATTTCTCGGGGATGAACCTTATCTCATGTGTACTCCAGACTTTGTTTTATATCTGTACCAAATTTCAATAAGATATGTCGAACCGTTGCAGAATGATCGAGTAAACATTACAAAACTAAATCCCTTGGGGACCGCAACTATTCCCAGGATAAAAAGTAGCTCTAAACCTGTGCCAAATTTAGCCGTTTTTTGCATGTTTTTACTTTTAATTCTAATTGGTAAAATTTTAATTTTAAATTTCTTATTTTCAGTGTTTTCTAATATTTTTAAGTGTTGTAATATTTTGAATAGATTAAATGACTATTATTATTAAAATAAAAGACTTTCTCAAGTTCTAAATTATATTAACTAGCATTAATTACTACAATGAACATAACTTTATTCTATCGGTAAAACATAACTAAAAATAACTAACGAACTCGTATACAAATTATAAGTAAAATAGATTAAAAATAATAATCTTCAGATGACAGTTTGAAGCGGAGCGCGGGAAACTCCCAAACGCGCAGCGTGTTGTCCATGTTGCCAGATACAATTCTATAACATCTGAAAAAGATGTCAATAGCATGGAAAATCATTTGATTAAGAACGCGTTTTTGATTAAACTATCGGACAACTGGTTCTCGTTTTGATTCCTATGATTTTATGATGCGCTCACTACTCGATTTTTAGTTGTACAACTAAACAGTTGAATTGGCTGCGAAACTAACACAACAGTTGTGCGATAGTTTAGTTAAATGTGTACGCACGGTCTTATGATGTCCCTATAGAGATCTATATACATTTGACTACAAAATACTTATCACCAAGTATTGTGTACTACTGTGTACTTACTGTGTACTTGGTGATACGTATTTTGTAATGAATTTTCAAATAACTATACTAGTTATTTCTAAATAGTTTCTCACCCGCTCTGAGACACAGCAACACAATTGACTTCCGGCTGCCCTAAG